CCACAGTCCCCCCAGCAATCACCCCACACCTACCCACACTCCAACTCACATCCCTCCACATACACACACCTCCATTCCCCCACATCCTTCCCACCCCCTTCCTGCAAACACCACTTCCCCCCATCACACAACCGTCATGTGCGAAGAAAACCAAAAGTACACAACAACTTATATAGGTATTCAGTATTTATTTTATCATGATGATAGAGACACTGGTAGGCTTTCACATTGCTTTAACACTATAAATATACCAATAACGCATTGCCCATCTGATTGCTGTCTCTCTCTCTCTAGATGTATATATATGTGCGTGTGTCTATAGAGTGGTCTTTTGTGTTAATTGTGGAAAAAACATGGATTTTGGGATATTTTGAAAAATGGATTTGGGATGCTGCTGTAGCAGTCCTGCTAGCACAGGGGGTAGTGTCCCCAGGTACCAAGTGATCAAGAAGCTCCGGAGAGCAAGTAGGCCTGAGGTGCTTGCCAGGGCAGGTGTTTGTACTGCTGGGGCCAGGACAGGACAGCTTTTTATACTGCTGGGGACAGCAAAGGTGCTGGCCTCAGGCTCTAGCTCCCCCTGGCTGCAGATCCAGGAGGAGACAGGCAGGGTTATTTTGCCCCAAGTGGCACAATTTGCTCCACAACAAAGTGCATGTCTGAGCATGTGCCAAAAGACCCGGGTCAAAATTGCACCGCTTCTATTTGAGCTGCTGCAAGTTTATGTGCTTGCATGTGTGGACATGTCCAAGGTTTCTAAAGCTGTGCTATAGCTCAAAACAGACTTCTGGCATTGAGGCAGTAATTATAAAGAGAGAGGTGATATGAAAGAAGTCAACTTGGATGATCATAATCAGTAGCATAACTGGGGGGGCAGGGGGCGGCACTGGGGCAGTAGCCATGCAGCTGCTCTGCTACGCCTCTCATCATAATGGTCCCCTTAATGGCCTTAACATACATGAATCTAGGCCTTTATACATTTGTATACAGTATCTAGATTTCCAGGCCTACAGAATTAAAAAGTACAGTACCCCTGGATACCATATACAGCACTGCACAGTACCTTTGTACTGTGCATGAATGTAGTTTTCTAGCTCCTCTGTGTTGGCCTCTCTGCTGTTTTACCTGTGAAAGTAATGAGATGTTGCTTTCTAATTCCTGCAGTGAGTTTTTCATGCTATGATGAGTGAGGTCTGTTTATTCTATTAGTATATAGAGCATACACAAATTGTTTAATGCATTATTTCTTCTAATATTCTACCCACTTTTAAGTGTCATGCTATTGATATTATTTATGAGTATGGTGTCAGGGGCCAGGAACTTGTCCTTATCATGAAGCAGCACCTATTTTTTCTGCTAGATGCTATGCAAACACAAAATAAAGTGATCATTTCTATATATTAGAAATAGTAGTAGTATCCTTAGCATCTAGATGCTCTCCACTTTCTCTCTTATGTAGGGTGGCTTTTATTTACAACTTTTTTTTCCAGCACGCTTTTCTTGTGTTTCTCTGGAGATGGCTTTTCACATGGCTTTTGACAGAGCTCGACTTACTTCATCCTTATAAAAGCCATTTTGGAATTGGATATTACTTGTATCTTTTCTTCTTCCA